ACCCCATGGATGCTTGCCAGTTTCCTCTGTCCATGGAATTCTCCAAGCAAGAATACTGGAGTGGGTTGCCATTCCCTTTGCCAAGGAGATCTTCCCGATCCAGGGATCGAACCCAGGTCTCCTGTATAGCAGGTAGAATTTTTACCATCTGAGCCACCAAATTACTTTATTCACTTTACAGTTGGAAATTTTTACCCTTTAACCTATTTCTCCCCATTTCTCTCTACCTTCAGTCCATGGCAACCACCATTCTACTCTGCTTCTCTGAATTTGGATTTTTTAGATTCCACATATAAGCGAGAACATACAATATTTGTCTTTCTGTGTCTGAGTTATTTCACTTAGGGTTATGCTCTCAAACTCCATCCATGTTGTCCCAAATGACAGGCTTGCCTTCATTTTGATGGTTGAACCATATTCCATTATAATATGTACCACATATTCTGTATCCATCCATCAGTGAAAACTTAGGTGGTTTCCGTATCTCAGCTATTGTAAACAATGCTTAAATGAACATGGGAGTACAGATATCTCTTTGAGATCCTGATTTAATTTCCTTCACTTATATAACCAGAAGTGAGTTTGCTGGATCATATTATAGTTCTGTTTTTAAAGTTTGAGCAATCTCCATGCTATTTTCCACAGTGACTGTACCAATGTATACTTCCACCAATAGTGCAGAAGCATTTCCTTCTCTCCATGCCCTCGTCAACCTTTGTTGTCCCTTGTCTTTTTGACAATAGCCATTCTAACAAGTATGAGGTGATATTTCATGGTAGTTTTGATTTGCATTTCCCTGATGGTTAGTGATGTTGAGCATTTTTTCATGTGCCTGTTGGCCATTTGTATGTCTTCTTTGGGAAAATAGTCCATTCCTCTACCCATTTTTGGTCCAATTTTTTTTTTTTTTTGCTTTTTTACTATTGAATTGTATGAGTTCCTTCTATATTTTGTATTAACTCCTTATCAGTTGTGTGGTTTATAAATATTTTCTCCCATTCCACAGGCTTTCTTTTCATTGTGCAAAAGATTTCTAGTTTGATATAGCCTTACTTACTGATTTTTGCTTTTTGTTGCCTATAATTTTGATGTCATATAAAAAAAAAACAGTTGCCAAGACCAATGTCAAGAGCTTTTCCTCTAATCTTCCTTCTAGTAGTCTTACAGTTTAAGGTCTTTAAGCTCATTAGAAAAGACCTTGATGCTGGGAAAGATGGAAGGCAGGAGGAAAAGTGTGTGGCAGAGGATGAGATGGTTGAATGGCATCACTGACTCAATGGACATGAGTTTGAGCAAGCTCCGGGAGTTGGTGATGGACAGGGAACCCTGGCGTGCTGCAGTCCACGGGGCGGCAAAGAGTCAGACACAACTGAGTGACTGAACAACAAATTTAAGTCTTAAACCATTTCAAAGTAATTTTTATGAGTAGTGCAAGATGGGATTTTATTTAATTTTTCTGCATGTGGTTAATCCAATTTCTCCAACACCATGTATTGAAGAGACTCATTTCCCCCATTGAGTCTTTTTGGCTCCTTTGTCCAACATGAGTTGATCATACAGGTGTGGGCTTTCTTCTGGGATCTCAATTTATTCCATTGTTCTATGTCTCTATTTTTATGACAGAACCATGCTATTTGATTACAACCGTTTTGCAATAGTTTAAAATCCAGAATTGTGATATCTCCAGCCTTGTTCTTTCTTGGTATTGTTTTGGGTCATCAGGGTATTTTACAGTTCTGTATGAATTGTAGGTTTTGTTGTATTTCTGTGAAAAATGCCATTGGAATTCTGAGGTTTCATTGAATCTTAATTACTGTCATCATCTTCAATTTTTCTTCCTTCCAGTTTCTCCTTTACAAGGGATTCTTCCAAGGCACCATTCTGATTGAGCCATTCCCTTGCACAATCTTTTCAAAAGCACAAGCTGAGTCTAAAATAAAAATCAAATTCCTTTTTTGGGGGGGACAATTAGGTCCAAAACTCCCTCTCTCTTGCTTCATTTATTTATTGTGCATTCAGTGTGTGGTGCTCACCAGGCCAGGTTCACCTAATCTCTTGCCTCTTACCTTCCTTACACCTTGTCTTACTCCAAATACACCCTACACTCCAGCCAAACTGAAACATTCACTGCCATGTGGCAGACCTGGACCAGAACCCAGATAGGCTGACTTCCAGGTCAGTGTTCTTTCCCCTACATCATGGTCCCATATTCAGGTTTTAGTTCAGTTCAGTTCAGTTGCTCAATTGTGTCTGACTCTTTGCAACCTCATATACTGCTCCATGCCAGACCTCCCTGTCCATCACCAACTCCTGGAGTTTGCTCAAACTCATGTCCATTGAGTCCATGATGCCATCCAACCATCTCATCCTCTCTCATCACCTTCTCCTCCTGCCTTCAATCTTTCCCAACATCAGGGTCTTTTCCCATGACTCAGTTCTTTGCATCAGGTGGCCAAAGTGGGCTTCAGGTGTAAGTCCATTCAATATTCAGGTTTAAGTCCATTCAATCTGCATAGTTACAGATATTCTAATAAATTAACTGGAGAAAAGCTCAACAAGTACGGATTACACTGTCATTTTTGTATTTCTTGTCTTTTGGGGGGGGGGTATTTATCTTGTCAGTTAGAAATTTCAGCCAAGCAATACCTCTAGGGAGAGCAGAAGTAGGGGAGCACCCTCTGGGATGTAAGGTCTGAAAGTGAATGCTTCAGCCTCAACTTTAGGACCATCTCCATAGTCACAAGTGCACCTAGGAATAGAACTTCAGGCTTCAGTCTTGTTTTCCCCTGACAAATGTCAGAGGCCAACCAATTGCCTGTGGAATTTGATTCCAGGGTACTGGGAACATTTGTATCTAAATAAATCTACTCCCATCTGCTGGTGGTTGTCTGAATTTCCATTCATCACCGAATCACACTAAAAAAAAAATAATAACATTCTGGAAGTAGTTTGGGCATCTACTGTTATGTGACCTTGGGATCATCCCCTTTCCTTCTCTGGGCCTCAGTTTCCCCATATTAAAGTCCAGAGGGTGGGACAAAATGACCTGGAATAACCCTCCCACTTTTATCAAGCAAGGATTTTCTCTATATTCCTGGATGATCAGAGACAACAAGGGCAGGCTGGCTAGCCACAGGGATGGGTTTTATTGATCCACTCCTGTATGTAATAGTCAGTAACATATAGGTCCCATCATCTTTGTTTCTTCACTCATGTGGGAAGGCGACCATTTGTTCCAGTGCTGGGGTGAAGGGGAAGGAAGGTATGAGGGTGATCTGCTCTTTAAAAAAAAAAAAAAAAAAAGGCAGGAAACTATGAAATGCACTTTCTAAAAGTGTGATTCTAAGGTGGTTAAGAAAAGTGAGGATAAATAGTTAAACACTTAACTGTTCTGATGAGCAACAAGAGCGAAGCAGCTCAAAGCATCCCTGGATGCTCAAGGCTGCTCACTTCCTGGTTTCAGAGGTCCGCAGGCTGTCCGGGAAAGGGACAGTCTGTGGGCAGTGCGGGGCGAGCAGGAGCCCAACTAACCAGGCAGGCAACTGAAGGTTTTCGGGGCACAAGTAACCCCAACTCACTTCACCAAATACTGAGAGAAAAGAGAAGAAAGCTCCATCTCTGTATGAATGTTCTAGCTCACTTCACCAAATACTGAGAGAAAAGAGAAGAAAGCTCCATCTCTGTATGAATGTTCTAGCTAACCATGCTGCTGCTGCTAAGTCGCTGCAGTCATGTCCGACTCTGTGCGACCCCATAAACGGCAGCCCACCAGGCTCCTCTGTCCCTGGGATTCTCCAGGGAGGAATACTGGAGTGGGTTGCCATTTCCTTCTCCGAGCTAACCATGAATGAACCATGATTGAACCCATGTTCATTGCAACCCTTCTCAATGGCATGCCTTAGGAATTGCCCGCCTGGTCCAGGGCTCTGAAGGACGTCTTTCTGAACTTGCTTTTTCAAGGATCTGAGATAGGAAGGACAGAGGGGATTGGGATGGAAGAATTTCCCTATCCTCTGAGAGCCTTTTGTTTCGTAGGGCAGTGTTTGAGGTAGTGGAAAGAATAAGAGCCCTCTAGTCAAAATTCCTGGCTTTTTCACCTGATGGGCCCCAAATGCAGGAGCATCAGAGTCGCCGGCTCCAAGGACTCAATCCCTTGAAACACTGGTCCTCGCCTCCTTCCCCTTCCACGGCCCTGGCTCTGGGACCGTCACACCTCAGTGTGACCCCAGTGACCCCAGTCGGTGAACACTTCCAGTTCCCGGATCTCTGTCCTGGAGACCCAGAAGTGTGCAGCCCTGTCAGAAGGTACATTCAGACAGAGCAAATTCCCTCACTCCCTTCACCGCGAAAAACAAAACTCTTGAGCACACGGTCTTTCAAAAGACACGCACATTTTGAATATTTTTTCTTTTTTTTTCTTCTTTCTTTTTTTTTTTTTACCGAGAGAAAACACGACCCATCGGGTGCCCGGCTGAGGACGCGCGTTCAGCCCTCCGGCAGCGACGCTCCGCCCCTCCCCCAGGCCGGCCCCGCCCCGCCCCTGTCTGTGCCTGGCGGGGGCGCGACTGCGGAGGCCTGAAGGGGCGGGGAGCCGGGCGGTGAGCCGGCTGCGGGCGGAGACTGGAGCGCGCGCCTTTTTTGTGCGGCTTTTGGCACCTGCCGGATTGGTTCGACCAGCGCGACCGTCGGAGTGGGCGGAGCCAACGGGCGCCGGGCTGGGTGCCCAGACGCAGCCTGGAGCGGCTGCAGACGGAGCGCACCTTGCAGCCGCCGGGCTCGTCCTAAGGCTCCGGGTCGGGCACTAGCCCGGCTTCTGGACTCCGGTCGGACCCCTACACCCCCTGCTCCCTAAACTCTCGCTGCAGTCTCCTTAGAGGCGACTCCTCGCAACCCCCCAGCTCCCTCTCGCCCCACACTGTCCTCGCTCGCTCCGTCCCATTCCCCGGCGGCGGCGGCGGACCGCAGCCTCTCGAGCCTTCCAAGCTCCGGAGTGCGCAGCCATGAGCATCCGAGGGATGCTGCGAGCCGCTGTGCTTCTGCTGCTCATCAGAACCTGGCTCGCGGAGGGCAGCGACCTCAGTTCCACCCCGAAATTCCACTTAGAGCTCTCCTCCACCGTGCCCGAAGTCGTCCTGAACCTCTTCGACTGGTAAGCGGGAGCCGCCAGGTGGGGCATGGCGGCGACAGGAGGGGACCGGCGGCAGCCTCGGACCTCTTGGACGGAGCGGGCTGGGGAAGACTTGGACCCGGGCTCGCCGATCCCTGGCGCGCCGGCCCAGCCTCCAGATCCCTGGAGGGTGGTGGGCTGAGAGTAGGGACGACCGTTCGAGATAGAACCTTGGTGCTTCAGCCCACCTGTTAACTGCAGCCCCAGGAGTTGGGGGGAAGGATGCCCTCCCCCCAAGGTCTGCCATCCATCCCCAGGGACCAAGCCCCTAACAGCTTTTCCCTGTCACGCCCTTTGGCACTTGTAGGATTGAGGGTGGGAGTACAGGGTGTTGGGAAATTCACAAAACTATGGAGACACCTGTTTGAGTCCGGATTTTTTTCTCTATTCCCTGAGGCGCGTGCATGTATTCATGAATGTGTGTGTTGAGCAGTGAGGGACCTTTTTCGATGCCGCAGGCAGAAATTATTGACTCAACCTCATCTGAGCCCAGACAGTGCAATTGGTGGCTGTATAACATATACCCGTGTGGCCTGAGATGGGTGCAATTTTGTAGTGACTCCAATTAGACATTTGAAGACTTGGTGTTTGATTTCAAGTTTGTTTGGGTCTGCAAATACCTGAAGAGATGTTAAACAGTCAGCCTTTACGTGGAGATCACATGTAAATGTGTGTTTGTGATGGCCACAGGTCCTGAGCGCTAGCATATGGCTAGTGCGTGTGGTCCTTAACACACAGAAATGCGTTGCTTTAATTTGGAACTCATTCACGTGCACACTTTGAAATTTTCTCATTAAAGATAATTGAGATTTTTTTAAAAGATGATTGAGAATAATTTTTCAAATGGCAAACCAGAAAAGAACATGTATGAGGAAAAAGGAGGTGGGGGATAGTTGGGCAAGGTTCCAGCAGAAAGCTCTGCAATGTCCTCAACCCAAGATACCAGATTGCGCTAGTGAACACACACACACACACACACACACACACACACACNTACCAGCTTGCGCTAGTGAACACACACACACACACACACACACACACACACACACAAGATCTGCAGGGGCTGACTTCTATAGTCACTGCGTGAAAGATACTAAGAGTTATAGTGATGCCAGAGCATCTCATTCACAAGCCCCTTTGGGGGAAAAGAGACCGCAGTGAAAGACTATGTGAATTGAAAGGGCGCATCAGAGACTTCTGGAAAGGCCAGCTCTCTGGGTCCACTTACATGTGCTCACCCAAAACACGTCTAGGCTGGAAACACATGCTTAGCCAAAGAGATGCCTGCTCCAAAAATGCATGTGTTTTTGAGGATGGCTCTGAAACCCAAGGATCAGAAATGGTTTGATTGACGAGGCTCATAAATCTCTGCTACATGAGCAAGGCTCTGTCTGTGCCATATGTCACATGCCAAGTCTTGGAAACAGAGGTACACAAGAACAAGATTCAGATAGACGTGATAGCAAAATGCTGGCCCCAGCCTAGGTAGTGAGTGAGGTGGAGAATGCAGGCTGGTGGGCTCAGCTCATGAAGGTACTGAGGGGGTAAGGTGCATCCAGACCGATGGTAAGGTGGGGCTCCTTAGGGGGCTTGAGGTAATAGGTTTCTGTGAGCACTCACGCCTGCCCACACCCTCTCCTCTCCACTTCCCTTACAGTTCCCCCCCCATCCCCCCAATTCTGCCTGGTAACAAGAAGCCAGTCTTTATGCCCCACCCTTTGGATAAAGGCTGTGGAGGGGGAGGGGGAAAGAAGAGTCTGCGTCACTGCTGTGCTTCTGGCTGACTCACTGGAGGAAGGGAAGGGAGCAGGGAGACATGTGTACATGTATGATGCACATGTCTGCATCGACTGCACGTGTCTGCATGTGTGCAGGTGGAAAGAAGGCCCTGGCGAGTTGATGCCCGGGGTGCTGTTTGCTGTTTGTTTTCTGAGAAGTGATGCAGCATTCACTGATGACCAATACCTACCAATGACTTCTCTGTTCCAGCAAAAACTGTGCAAATGAAGCTACAGTTCACAAGATTTTGGACAGAGTGCTGTCGAACTATGATGGCCGTCTGAGGCCCAATTTTGGAGGTAAGACACGTCCAGGTACTAGAGCTGAGACACAGCAAGCCAGCCCCACCCAGTGAGCTGACCAGGGGCACTCCTCTGGACTGGGCCCTTCTGCCTCTGCAAACCCCACTTCCTGATCCTCCAGAGACCCCAGCAGAGCATTCCCAGGCCCCAAGTCCCAGGCCTGTGTCTCTTCTGCCGGCATTTCCCCCACTTCTCTGCCCCTTCCATACTCCTGTACAGTGGCCTGAGCCTGAAGCACATTGCCTGGACTGCAGAAGCGCTCGTCACCCCAGGTGTGCTTCACCGGCTAGAGTTTTCTGCTCCATCTGTGGGGAGGACACACGTTCCACTTGTGCACACAGTCTCTGAACCCTGGGCACTTATCCCCATTCAGCTAGTTGAAAACTAAGGGCATGGTCTTCTCTGCCTAGTTTACTTCATACACCCAGGCCCCAGGTTCTGCTGCCTCTGCTCAGCCTCCCCAAGCCTTCAGCTCCCACTGAGTTCAGTTTGTTGCACACACTGCAGTCAGCGTGATCTTTATGACTCCCACCTGATTACCTTAGGAACTTCTGATAGCCTTATCTGCTAAGTAAAATCTACACACCTCAGATCTCAAGCACAGAGATGAGAAATGACAAAGAAACTGAAGTAACAAACTCCAGGATACATCAATCAATACATCAATTTCTCCTGTTGTTGTTGCCTAGCCCCTCACCCCACCCCACCCCGCCCCTGGCTTTGGAAAGGGAGATGGGCCATCTCACAGCACAAAATGACAGGCACCTACCTGGACTGCTCAGAATAGGAATAGCATTCTCTGGCTGAGGGGATGCCCAGGAAACCTAGACCAAGGACAAACAGGAGGGGTGCCTTAAATAGACATTAGTCACATTTTGGCTGAAAGGAAACCAGGAAAGAGCTAAAAAGCAAGGTGGCTAAGTCAGAGAAAGCACTTCCATTCCTGCAGGTGGTAGAACTAGACACCCACTCTAAAGGGTTAATGGATGCTAGTGTTCACATTAGAACATTTGTATGAATAGAGGTCTTCTGAATACACAATGCCTCCGCCCTCAAGGGCACACAGCTGTTAGCAATTGCCTTTGTGGTAGACCACTAGGGGCTCTGTGATGTGCCTAGGAGCCACCTTTAAGACCACGGTTGCCTGGCGCCCGAAGGTTTGGGGGCGGGGCACTTGACTGGTATCCTCTTTGCTGCTGTGCTTCCTTCAAGTGTGAGGGCAGAAGGTGGTGCAGCCCTCGGATCCAAGGTGAGTGTACATTAGGGGCTGGGAAGTTGGAGTGGATAGGACAGAAGGCAAGTGCTAGGGCACAGTCAGCACCCCCACTGGACCAGTTGCACCAAGCAACGAATGTCAGGTGTCAAGGGTGTAGCTGTTGCATTTTTTTTCCTCTATTCATCATTCTCATGTTTTTCAGCAAAGGCTGACCAGCAGCCATTCAAGTACATCAAGCACATTCTCCCCACTGCTTCAGGTTGCCATTTCTGCAGGCACACAGGGCCAGGGGGAGGGAACAGAGGGAACAGAGCAAGGACCAACCTCTGGGGGTTGTCAGGTGCTCCTGACCCACAGATCTCCAAGGCACCTCACCGCCATATTTTGAGCTAACCTGGATTTGTTTACACCTGATGTCTAACCTCCTTGATTACAGTAAGCTTCATGGACATGCAGACCTGGGAAGTCTGATAGAAGCTCGGCCCCCAGTTTGGCCAAAGAGTAGATGAAGGTGGGAGGACAAGGACAAGGCAGAACCTTCTAGCATTTAGACAGAGGGAGGCACTACAGGCTCCACGTCTGGGGCTCTTTTATGCGAGGGAGGGGGCAATCATGGGAGAGCAAGGCCAGGGGGGGTTAGGGATGGGGGTAACCGAGCACTCCTACTGTACACAGAGTCAGATTCTGAAGTTAAGTAGAGTTTCAGGGCTTCGCACACATGCCCAGACATGACCCAACTGTGGTTAGCTTCAAATGGGAGATGTTACTCCCTTGAGAAGAGAAGGAAGATGAAGAGGAGGCATAGGAGGGGCCAGAGAAAGTTAACAAGGCTGCTTCTTTCTGAGCAAGAGAAGTGAGGCTCCAGAGTGCTGCAGAAGCAGGTCCCTAACAGCTTTGCTTAGCCTGTCACTTGGCATGACATAGGTGTGGAGCAAAGGATCAATGGACCACCTTCATCACTCCTTCAGTTACCTCCTCTTCCTCTGGTACTCTGATGGATGCTAGGGAGGAAGTAGACTTGGGGTTGCAAAGTTCACAAGAGGGATGGGAGTGGTTATCCCCCCCTCCCACTTTTTCTGTCTTCTTGAGTCCATCAGGAGGGACAACAATGGGATATGGGGCTGAGACCATCACCCCAAAGACAGCATTTAGACACCTTATCTGGAACTTCTTGTTCCCCTCTGTTATGCTTGTAGGGGTGTGGTATCTTAGTTAGGCTCTCATTATGACCACTGCTAGCACATAAGGTGTTCCCTCTATGTGGATAAATTAGAAAAAGATCTCAGGTCCTCTTCAGGTCGCACTCCTGGGCCAGGACTCATGGCTTGCTGAGGGGAATGTGGACTGCACGTTCCCTCTTGCTCCTTTAACTGGGAGCCTTTGGACAAAGCAGAGCCCTGGCACTTTAGGGTTCAGATCCCCAGGATTCTGCTGTAAAGGATGGGATTGCCTGAGTGATACAGAGTGGTCCAGGATTACAGGTTTGACACTAGAGTGAGATGGCCAAGAGGATGGCTGCCCCGCCCTTCTGGGGCTTGTTGCCTGCCTAACACAGCTTTCATCCTTCTCTAAAGGCATGCAGAGAGCCTGAAAGGCTATAATAAAGAAAAACTGCCTTTCTAGAAACCCCTATCACTACAAGCACTTTGCCAGGGATCATTCACAATAGCTCTGAACGCTGGAATTGGTTATGCCCTCACACGGAGTCCCATTTACTTCTTAGGTGCCATTCATACATGGATTCCCAGTGCACTTTATAGTTTAGTTTCTAGGCTGCTGGCTTCACTGCAGGCTGAATTGGAAGCCTCACGCCTGTTTCCATAACAGCAGTGCGATATAATACGCATAGAATAATGGTTCAGCTGTAGGGCCAGGTGGAGGGAGTCCTGAGTCAATGAGGAAACAATAAAAATGTTTTTTCTACAGTACTTTATAGTTTATGACATATTTGCACATCCATTATCACATTGGGATGGGCAGTGCTAACACCTAGTCCTGAAAAAGAAAGCCAGGAGGCAGAAACATAGACACACACATGCACAGATTCAATCACGGTTACATATTAATACACACAAACACCCTCACATATGTACTCATTCACATGAACATACTCAAATTCACTCATTCACTCACACATAGACACATATTCACACATGGTTTGATATTCACATATATGAAGACACTCACATTCACCCATGCTCACACACAAACATGTCCACATTTTTACAAACTCACAAACACCTTCATACATGAACGTGCTCACACATTCACTCATAGGTGTATAGTGACACACTAACACAGATGAATATGCTCATGGGTTCACTTGCACACCAACATAGTTGCACGTTCACTCACACACAAACACAGTCACAAACATTCACACATTCAACCATACTCACTTGGACATGTTCAAACGTTTTCTCAAGCACATCAACATGCATACATAAACTCACACACTCATAAGTGTGATGAGTGTGAGTGTAGAAGCATAATCACTTATCACACTTCACTTGCATATGAACAAAGTCACATGCACAAATGTATTCACATATGTACACAATGAGCATGCTCACTCACACACACATACAGTCACATACCCATAAGTTCACTTACATTCCCAAACACAAATTTTCACACACAAACATAATCATACATTCACTCACACGTGGACATGCTCACAAATATATTAACAAGTGAACAGGCTCACACAAACAACCTACATAGTCACTCCCACATGATATATGCAAATACACACATGTGCTGACACATTCATTCACCCAGAAATGTGCTCACACATTCACTCACACACAAACATGCTCACAAACAACATTCATGAATTCACTCACACATGAATATATTCATGCATTAACATGTTCACATATACAAACACACCCACAAATTAACTCACACACAAACAAGCTCACAAACACACCCATGTTCACACGTTGCCTTGTGCATTAACAAGCTCACATACATTCACAGTCACACATGCTCTCATACATGAATACACAAACATTCACTTGCACAGGAACATACTTATAATTCACTCCCACACAGCACATGTTCACATATTTATTCACACACAACACATTCAAGTACACAAATACACTCATGCATTTTTCTCACACAGGCATGCTCACATACACTCATGTGCACACTGGCACATTCATCTGCACATGAATACATGCATAGATTTACTCACATCTGTGAACATGATCCCATCCACCCATGCACACAGCTCACACATTCATTCTTCATTCACACGAAGACACACATTCACTCACACATAGACACATTCACATGAACTCACACAAATATGTTCATGCACAGCATATATCTTGTTTTGGGTCTCATTGTTCTTGAGTTTTTATCCAGAAAACATTTAGAAAAAGAGTGCTTCATCCCCTTATTTTTTCTTTATTTTGGCCTGACCCTTTCTTTTCAGCACATTGTGAGCCAGGCCCTTCTCTAAGTGGTTGGCTTGCATTAACTATGAGCTAAGTACTATCATTATCCCCATTCTGAGGAAACTGAGGCTCAGAGAGGTTAGGTAACTTTTTCAAGGTCACGCAGCTAGTAAGTGCCAAAGTGAGGTTCAAACTCAGGCAGTTTTTTACCCTTTTTCCTACCTTGAATGTAATAGTGTCTTCCTGTATTGTAGGTGCCCCTGTGCCAGTGGGAGTGTCTATCTACGTCTCCAGTATTGAGCAGATCTCAGAAGTGACTATGGTAAGTGTGTCCGCTCCAGCCTTGGGGCTGGGGACCAGGTACATGAGACCAGGAGCAGGGTCATAAACCAACTCCTGTTGCTATGACCTGCAGCAGAGCCCACGTGGAGGAACATAATAGGTTTCGGAAACTACAACCACCTGAAATAAAAAATAAATCCAGGTGTATTATAGATCTAAAAGTGAAAGACCTATGAAGCTTTTAAAATATAAGATATTGTTTTAGTGTCTTTGGGATAGGTAAGGAGGTTTTTTAAAAAGACACAGAAAACACAGATTATAAAAATAAATACTGCTAACTTCAACTATAATAATAATCTCTTTAGGCAAAACTTTTGGCACTTCAGTTTTGTAAAAGAAAGAAACAAAACCAGTATGAAAAGTTTGAAAGGAAAACTCAGATTGGACTATGATATTTGCAACAAAAATGACTGGTATTGAAAATACACATAATTCCTGTGAATTAATAAGAATATTTTAAAACAATAGAAAAATGATCAGAAAATGCAAACAGGAACTTCACTTTTGTGAAGAAATCCAAGTAGCAGATAAACTTATGAAATGATATTTGACTTTATTATTAATCAGTGAAATGCAAAATAAGACCACAGGTTACATACCTCCTGCACCAGCAAAAAGTCAAAAGTCAGACAAAACCAATATTGGCAAGGCAGGAGCACTGGGAACACTCATCTGCACTTAGTGGGGATATAAACTGGAACTTTGGCTTCATAGTTCTTATTTCATTGTGGTTTTGGTATGTATGGTGTCATCACATAGTAATATACATAGTATATTCATATAAGGCAATATTATCCAGCAATACAAGTGAATGAAATTTAATTATCAATATCAAGCTGAACAAACACACAAGCACAATGTTGAGTGAAAGAAGCAAGGTCTGAACACAGAGAGTGTGATTTCTTTCAGAAAAGAAATATAAATAAGTCCAAGTAAGCAATACATTTCTTAGAAATGTATAGGCAATAAAACTTAGGAAAACATGGAGAAAAAATGTAAAAAGCAAAATTATTACCATTAAAAGTTAAGATAATGCATTATTGCTGGAGATGTGGGAAATATGTTCTGCAGGGGATACACTGGAGCTTGAAAGTTATTGGGAACATTGTATTTCTTAACCTGAATTTTAATTATATGGAGCTCATTTTATTATCCCTTACATTGAACATTCTTACATGTTTCATTACTTGTCTATATTTAGGATAAATTTCATATACCTGCAGGCACACACACACACACAAACTCGGAGGACCGAAAGCTGAACACCCCCACTTACAACTGGGATTTATCTTTCTCTCCTCAGGACTATACCATTACGATGTTTTTTCATCAGACCTGGAAAGATCCACGTTTAGCATATCATGAGACCAACCTTAACTTGACCCTGGACTATCGGCTGCTTGAGAAGTTGTGGGTCCCTGACTGCTACTTTCTAAATAGCAAGGAGGCTTTTGTTCATGATGCAACTGTGGAAAACCGTGTGTTTCAGCTTCACCCAGATGGAACAGTGCGGTATGGCATCCGGTGAGTTCCCCAGGGACCTGGGGATCACCCTGGCAGGACTAATCTCTGCCTTTGGTCATATATTATGCAGCATCCAGGGGGCCCAGGGGTGCACAGTTGTGCATCTACTGCCTATGGCTTTGTACAAACAATGTATGCACCCTGGAACGCCTCGTTGGTCTATTTGTAACATAATAGATGGTCACCAAAGCCCTCCTCACAGACTCATCTCTTACAAACCATCTTGTAAGACAAGTGTAACAGATAAATTTATCTCAGAAAATTTCTCCAACAGGTAGCTACTATGGTATAGCTCTTTCACACACACACACAGACATACAAACCACCTACTGTACAAAATGGAAGTCACTTTAAGAGTTGAAAGAGACAAGCGTGGCACCTGGGAAGAGCAGGACAAAGAGGGGTCCAGAGGCTCCCAGCTGGGGCTGCAGAAAGCTTTTGTAAATCCTCTTCCCCACTGGTCCCTTTTCCCATGGCCCCAGGTCTTCCAAGATCCCTCCTCAGATTCTTCTCTAGGACTTCCCACATGGCTATTGAAATTTCATTCCATAGCTAACCTCAGAGATATTAATCCCTCCTGCCCATTTACAGTCACTGGCATTTGCTAAGCCCTAGTACACTTGGGCTTCCCTGGTGGCTCAGAGGTTAAAGCGCCTGTCTGCAATGCGGGAAACCTGGGTTCGATCCCTGGGTCGGGAAGATCCCCTGGAGAAGGAAATGGCAACCCACTCCAGTATTCTTGCCTGGAGAATCCCATGGACAGAGGAGCCTGGTGGGCTACAGTCCATGGGGTCACAAAGAGTCGGACATGACTGAGCGACTTCACTTTCACTTTTTCACTTTAATACACTCATAAGCAGATGCACAGAGATGGATGTGCTGCAGGGGCAGTTCTCATGGCCAAAGGTGTGTCTGGGTCGCTGCTTACATCAGTGTGTGCACACCACATACATCAGATCTAGCACTTCAGCTGCTTCAGTATCGTGGTTTCCTCTTAACAGCCTTGCTGCTTCTTCAGCAAGAAAGTCCCCTTTCTGACTCTGCAATCAGTTTCCTCCAGGGTCCTTCCCATTCTGACACCCCAAGGTTTCCTGACATGTCATACATCTGTTCTCATCTGTATTAGTCCTACACCACTTTTTGGTTTCTTTGTCACATACAGATTTCCTCTCTCTTCCTTACACAACTCATCTTTACTGCAACTCATCTTTCCTCTGGAGGGAAGGAAGGGAGGGGAAGAGAAAGAAGGAAACAAGACAGGAAGAGGAGAACCCAGCTTTAATGTAGGCAGTGTGGGCTAGTCCTTGGGGTGCCTCCCTCACTCCACTCCTGCACTTTTCTCAGGAACAGTTACTCACCTGGGCTGCACTCACCTTCCCCTTCCTTTTGCTTTTGCTTGCAGGCTCACCACCACAGCAGCTTGTTCCATGAACCTGGAAAAATTCCCTCTGGACAAGCAGACCTGCAAGCTGGAGGTGGAGAGCTGTACGTTTGTCTCCCATGGCCCCTTCTTCCCTTCCTGGTGTGGGGACATGAGGAAACCAAAGGTGCACTTGACAGTGAGAGGGACTGCATATGTCCCCTACTCCCTCCCTGCCCTTTTCTCTCCTAGGTAGATAGATAGACAGACAGATGGACAGACAGACAGAGGTGTGTGTGTGTGTGTGTATAATATATATAATATATTTATATATTTTATTATTATATTTATTATATTTATTATTTATTATATTTATTTTTATATATGGCATCTGGGAGAAGGCAGCCTTCAGGATAGAAATAGTCCCATACGGGAATGTGCCACGCCCTGGGGATTTTGTGCACAAGCTCGTGGCACATCTGTCTACTCTGCTTTCCTTCCTGGATAAGAAACTGAAAGTTCTCTTTTCATATGCCCCGCTGCCCCAGGGTCAGACCCACAAAACTACGAACTACGGGTTCCAATTGTCCTTTGGTTTTCACAAACTCCTCTGGTATGAAGTCACCTGTGCCTGCTTCCTTTAACTCTGCTCACTTCGCCCCTGTAGATGGTTACACAGTTGACGACATCCTGCTCTACTGGGAAGGCAGTGGGAATGCCGTCCAGGGGACAGAGAAGCTTCACATCCCTCAGTTCAGCTTCTTGGGAAAGACGATCAGTACCAAAGAGGTGTTTTTCTACACAGGTGGGTCTGACCCCCTCCTTCTCTCCTGTCTCTTGTCCTTTTGTGTGCTAGGGAACTCCTGGTGACCTCTGCCTTTGACCTCTAGAATCTCTTCTGCCTTCTTTCTATTCCCTTCTTGTTCTGGACACCTTGCAAAACCCCCTTCAGGAAGTCCCAGAGGCTTACCTTCTGCTAGTGAGGAAATGAGTGCAGCAGTACTTGGCTGGGTTTAACACTCCACGGGCCCCCTTTCGGGGCAAGCTGCTCCATCTGTGGCACCTTTGAAATATCTCCTCTCTCTCCCATTTCAGCTTTAGTTGACATGGAGCAACTGAGGAAGGAAGGAAGAGAGAGCAGACTTGCTGTGCCACATGTGCCTGCTAATATGTGCCGTTGTCACTGGCCTTAAGGCAGCAAAAGGGGTCAGGTTTGCAGACTGCCCAGGCTGGGATAGTAGAGGCTGAAGTGGCCATTGGTTTCCCCTCAACCATCCTGTACTTCACCCTGAAAATCCCCTCAGCCCTGCCACCCTAATACCAGTCTGTCTCCTGGCCAGGTTCCTATGTGCGCCTGATCCTGAGGTTCCTGGTCAAGAGGGAAGTCACCAGTTACCTTGTGCAGATCTATTGGCCCAGCGTCCTCACCACTGTTGTTTCTTGGATATCATTTTGGATGAACTATGAATCTTCTGCAGCCAGGGTGACAGTCGGTAAGTCCTGTCCCCATCTCAGGGAAGAACTTGGCTCATCTTGCTCAGAAAAAAGTTGAGAGTAAGGAGCAGTATTTGACTTCACAGGCAAGGGAACAAGATGGGGCCTGACTAACAGGCATTTGTACATGTGCCCAGCCAACCCCCAGCAGAGAGACCAACATTGGAGACAGATGCAAAACTCATCAGGGTTGGGATCTTGATATGTTGGGTCCAAACTATCAGAATTTCTATTTGCTGGATACACAAATGAATGGATAAGTCACAAATTTACATTAGAAATGGAACACAATAAACACTGATTAAGAAGCATATCAAAATGCCTGTGAAGCAGCAGAGGGCTTCTAGATGAACTGCCCTTGACAAATGTCTAATGAAAGGCTGAGATACGCACAGTCAGAGTCCAGAGGAAGAAATGACCTGGGTCTTCTTGGCTATAACTGCAGTAGGAAAGTACTGCTCAATCTGGGTTTTGAAGACTTCCGGGAGGCAGAGACATAAGTCCCAGCATTCCCTGAAAGAGGAACTAGCTTGATTACAGGTAAAGGGTAAATTGCAGGGTATTTACGGCTTCCCTGGTAGCTCAGTTGGTAAAGAATCCACCTGCAATGCAGGAGACCCCAGTTCGATTCCTGGGTCGGGAAGATCCACTGGAGAAGGGATAGACTACCCACTCCAGTAGTCTTGGGCTTCCCTTGTGGCTCAGCTGGTGAAGAATCTGCCCACAATGCGGAAGACCTGGATTTGATCCCTGGGTTGGAAAGATCCCCTGGAGAAGGGAAAGGCTACCCACTCCAGTATTCTGGTCTGGAAAATTCCACGGACTGTATAGTCCATGGGGTCGCAAAGAGTCGGACATGACTGAGCAACTTTCACACTTTCACCTGGGCACAAACTGGGGAAGTGGGGAGAGTTTCAGGAAGAAAGCCTGGGCTGTCTTGGGAATAACTTCAAATTCCACTTTAAGCAGTTGGAACTTCATGTCTAAACAACGGGGAGCATCAAAGACTTCTGAGCAGTACCAAGGAGGGGCCTAAGCTCCCAAATATATTTGGTCCCACTCTTCAGAATGCCTGTCTATCCCAGACCCTGGTCTCCTTTCTCCTTCACCATCTTTGGGGCAGACTTTTTAGCCTTCTTCTTTAGGAGCACACAGTACACTACACCTTTATATTTGTGTAATATTTTAGTGCTCACCAAACCTCCTGAGGGATGGATTACAGGAAAGCCTATATACTAGGAGGCAAAAAAGGGAAGAAGCATCATAGGGTAAAATGGGGCTAGATGTGTAACTCACTATGAACCATGGCTGGAGATTCTTGACTTGATCCTAAGAGCAAAAGTCACTGAACTGTTGAAGTACAGGCTGGGCCTAAAGATGGGGGTGAAGAAGCTAAGAGGGCAATTGAGCCAAGGTCCTAAGCCAGGAAAGCCTAAAGGCCTTTTGCTAAGGGCCCTCTTGACCTCAGAGATGGCCTTTGCTCCCTTCCAGTGGGATGTGGATCTGATGGCTTGTGCAAGAACTTCAGCCTCCTGAGGGAACTAACTGTGCTGTGTTGTTTATAGGTTTGACTTCGATGCTCATCCTGAACTCCATCAACTCACATTTGCGGGATAAATTCCCCCAATTTTCCTGCATCAAGGCCATTGACATCTATATGGTCGTATGCTTCTTCTTTGTGTTCTTGTCCTTGGTGGAGTATGTCTACATCAACTACCTTTTCTACAACCGAAGAGGATCCCGGCATTCTCAGAGGCAACTCAGAAGAGCCCTAAGAGTCATGGAGCGCTACCGCTACCAAGAGGCAGAGCAGGTTTGGCTTTTTGAATGACAATCCACTTTCCTTGAGCACCTCTTAAACCTAAGATTAGCACTTGAACCTTTTGAATTTCATAGCTCCTTTCATCTTCACACAACACACACACACGCACACACACACACACACACACACACACACCAGATAAGACAGAAGTAGAACAATATATCATCACTCCTTTATAGGTTGAGTCATTTTCCAAGGTCACAAGGTAACAAGTGGCAGAGATAGACTTCCCCAGACCTTTGGGCTTCAGATCTGGTCTACTCAGCATGCTTCAAAGAGTAGGCCATGGAGCCAGAAGGAAAGGGAACACAGGGAAGCTGCAAGGAAGAGACACCAGAGAGGCTGACCTACCTCTCCTTCCTTTGCTCTTCTGACTCCAAAAGCCATGCTGAGTCTTTTGCTGCTGGCAGTGTGTTAGTGTCCCTGCTTCACAGGGAACCCACCCCCACCTGCCTGAGGAGGTCTTGCCTCTACCCACTATGCAGCACTCCAGAGTGGGCGGCAACAGCCCTGGATGCTAACAGCCTTGTATATTCTAACAGGCTCTTGGTCCTGTTCCTCAGCACCATGCGCACAAGAGACAACGGGGAGAAGAGGCAGTTTACCCAGTGGACAAGCTCATCAATCATGCTGACGAGGAAAGTCCTCCCTCTCCTCCCTCCCCAACAGTGGTTGTTCATACAGCATTCAATGACCAGGTTCACCTAGAAGATGAAACTGACTCTCCTCCCTCCAGCCCACGGTGGGCTGGCCTAGCAACCCCAGAAAGTCTTGGCTCTTTGGCCTCCCTCACAAAGGAGGCACCATTGGCCTCCTCAGAAAGCCTCAGTTCGCTGTCCTCTCTCTCTGATGGGGCCTCTCTGGCCACCACAGGAAGCCTGAGTGATCTCCCGTCCACCTCAGAGCAGGTGGTGCACCACGACGGCATTCGAGTTAATGGTATTGATGTTGACAATAGTGTTGTTCCCACTGAAATCCGCAACCATCCTGAGGCCCATGACTGTGCTGAGACCCATGACCCAGAAGAAGACCCTGAAGAGAGCTCTGACTCCAATGAGAGTGAAGATGATGGCCCCAGCAGGAGGCGTCTGCTTGTCCATGGCCAGAGGCGTGAACAAAAAGCAACCTATGAGCTGCAGGAGATCTATAACACCCTTCATGATATACATAGCTTACCTGATGATGTCACTGTTGAGAGCGGCTACCTTGACCTTGAGAAGCAACTCAAGTGTAAAGTTGACAGTACCCGAAGCCTCTATAGTGATGATTCTATGGACTTTGATGGAGACAAGGAGAGCAACTCAGAGTCTGATGACAGTTTCCCCCCAAGCCCTGGCTGCTCCTTCAGTAAAGGGTTCTCTTCCGATCTCTTTCACCCTGACTACATCCCTAAGGTTGACCGATGCTCCCGGCTCCTCTTCCCTCTTGCCTTCGTGGTGTTCAACGTTGTGTACTGGGTGTATCATATCTATTAGTTCCCTAGTGTCCCCAAGTGGCAGGGACACTGTGCTGTGCTCCTTTCGTAGTTCCTTTTTGTTCCATTTGCCTTCTTTTCTGTCTTCATTTTACTTTATAGTTCTTGGGCACTTGAGTCCATTCCACCTTTTTCTTTATAAACATGATGTGGGGAGTAGTTGAAAAGGATGTATTCTGGCCAGAAGGGAAGGGATTGAGAAGGAGTTCGAGGTAAAGAACACACTGAATTTCTTTTCCTTCTGAAGACTATCATGTTGTCAATGACTTCTAACACCTAATTAAGACAGAAAAGCCACATGGAAATGTTTACAGGACAGAGAGGAGCCAGATTGGAGGACAAGAAGTATCCGAGCCCTGTGTACAAAAACATTTCTGGGGACTTTTCTGTCCCATTGAAGTGTTGAATTTTCTTTTTCATTCTTTTTTTCTTCTGTTTTTTTTTTCCCTTCCTAGTGATTATGGTCCTTGCTCACCCTCTGCTTAGGGTTTCATAAGAGAAAGCCAAACTGGGTTGTATAAGGGCTAGCCATCTCTTGCAAGTGCAGGGGGTGGCTCTAGGGAACTTGGGGATCCTGAAAGTGCCTTTTCCCCACTATTTCTTCTGTTGCATTTTGAGTGTAGTGTTCTGGTTCAGGGTGGGTGAGTAGGGGTGCTGAGTGAGATGTCAGGATGAGTGAGACAGCATGCTTCCAGCAGGAGCTTGCAGAGCATGATGATGCTGGATTGGAGATTACTCAGATTGAGCCAGCATCTTTGGAGGGGTTGAAACTTCTCTTGTGTATGTGTCTGCTTCAAAATGCTTGAAGATAGGGGCTCAGTTACATCTGCCTGGTCAGATGCTGGGTTGATCATCACTAGACACAGTGCAAGCACTTGGTGAATGAAGACTAGGGTTAGGAAAGTTCACCATCTAATCTAGAATTGCAGATGAACAACTGTTGTGAGTCTAGATAATAATTCTTTCTGTTTGTCTAGTGCATAGTAAGTGTCAACAAACTCACCCACACATCACATTGCCAAACCCTCACAAGAGTCCTGTCTGGCAGAGAAGGCAAAGCACATTGTCTCCAGTGTTCTGAGGGGGAAAAATGGAATTTATGTACCATGCTTGAGGGCATGCATCCAATGAGGGGTGGAGTCATCCCACTCGCTCTTCCTTCTGCTTGTCCTCTTAACTCTGTCAGCTGAAGCTGTCCCCTCTTGCCCCTCTCTTTTACAAAAGGGTGTGTTCCATCAGGTTCTGCTTATGTGCCAGGCATCAGACCTCATTCTACAGCACCTGGAGCTGCAGAAAGAAGCCAGTGACCAGCCAATAGGTGTGAACTGAGCACACTGAACATGGGCACTGCCCACCCAGTGGGCTCCTAAGCGAAGAAGGCAGTAGGCTGCATGCCAACTTGCCAAGCAGCTCCACTTCATTGATACAGGAGGTGGGGGAGCAAGACTGGTGAAGCACTCAGCTGATGTCCCTCCTTCCTATGTAGGCAGCTTCTCCTGCAGCTCCTCAGCCACTTACACTGTTAACTGTGTTCCTATATTTGTGTTTCTGTGTATACCCGGGTGTTGTCTGCATCACATACAATCTGCATTGTTTAGTTCTGCATGCACATGCAATCACTTGAGAAGCTGTATGGTTCTATGTACGTCAGTGTAAGTCTATATTGGTGTGTGTAAGATTGTATATATAACAACATGTAGATGCAAATGTGTGTGCACCCCTATGAAAGAGTGTGTAAACTTATGACTTATGTATATGTGTTTATAAGCTATGTTTATTTATCTGAAATGGGTGTAAAAGGAAATACACCTGAAAGCATATATATTCCCTGTAGGTGGCCCCTCTGGAACCACCAGAATTCTCTTGGTCTTTTCCCACATCAGGGGTAGGGGGGTGTATCTAGCCAGGCTATTTAACTGAATGTTTCTTTTCAATTACCTTTTCCCAGGGAGCAGGGTCTCCCGGTTCCAATCCACTCCTGTCTCCTGGATGGAAGAGGCAGAAAATGTGAATGTAGTCTCAGGAAGTGATCATTTAGTGCCTTGAGGTAGGAAGTGCTCAGCAGTCTGTACATATATACACACAGATAATGCACAAACACAGCCACACACATGTATGTTCACATGCAGCATCACACATTTACCCTCATATCTGCATACACACACACACACACACACACACACACACACACACAAATCTTGTAAGACAGCTAAAAACAAGAAAGATGCTGCCGGAATGTCTAAGATATCCTCTTTGTTTTTGAAGGATACACCCCTCACAGAGAGGTGGGGGGATGAGCAGTGACCTCACATCAGAAGCTCCCATCATGGCTATTTGAAAGGCTTGCTTTCTGGGGCTTAAGCATTGGTTAATTGGTTTCTATTTGGGTTTCCAGGACCCAGGAGTGCCTTTGAGCCCTGCAGGAGGCAAGCAGTTCATTTGAGATGGGAGATCATACAGATAGATTGGAGCAGTGAGGACAAAAAAAGGATTTAAGATGTACCTGGCAGAAATGCTCAGGAAGGCTTCAGAGCAAGGGCAGAGAGCCCATTTGTAAATATCTCCATAAATCTATGTACCTTATAGATCTTAGATCTTATTATACCTTAAGAAAGAATACCTGGCCCTAGTGTGCTGCAATGAGAGCAGTTGAACTACTGTGACTCACAGTGTGAGAGTATGTGTCCAGGTGAAGTGGAGGTTTGGCAATGACACCTTTCCAGAAACTTGAACGTTTGAGTTTGCCATTGACTTGGTCGTTTTAGCCTGTGCATTGCCAGACCTCCCCTTGTCTCCTTCTGTGCGTGTTCTGTCGTCAGCATAGTAATTGAGCCCCACCCTTCGCTGCCTCCAGCTGGCTGCCTACATCCCCTCCCAATTCCTCACCTCACACCAAGTAACCCTGGAAGTCAGGGCATCTGGCAGGGTGCTCCTGGGGCTCAGCCCATGGAGCCTTTCTCAGCCCAGCCAATCACAGAGTGTTGTGGTGATAGAGAATTTGAAGTTTGGGCAGAGGGAAGGATCTAGCTTAGTCTGGGATGAAGCAGCCCTGACTTGACTCTACCTCCCTTCACTTTCTTTTACCGTTAACTTTCCCCCTAAAACCCCTTCTCCACCACTACCATGGGAAGGAGACTTCTGTGCCTTTAAGGTGTCAGTTTGTTGTGGGGATATGTGACACAATTCCCACCAAGTCCTTGCCCATTCCATCTGCCACTGTGGAACACCTTTTCAGAGCTAACAATCAATCTCTGTTACTGGAGCTTGTCAAATGTATTCTTACAATCCATGCCATCTTGTTAATAGCAAGGCTGCAAAGTCTTTGCATATTTAGAACTGAGTTTTGCTGAGACTGTGGCCATTCCTAATGGGGTTTCCTTATTCTGTACATAAATGAGCTAACCCTTTAAGCTATTAAATAACGAATGCATTTACTAAGCTATCCACCTGCATGGTACCCTGCTGTGGTGATGAGCACTAAAGGAAATCGTGACTTGTCCTACTGAAAGTGCAGTGTGTTTGTGTTTGTTGTATCATGTCCTGTGATCAATATGAAATCTCTGTTATCAGTGTTGGGTTTTCAGGGTAGGGAGGGGGGAGGGTGTTATAGTGTCTCCCTGATGTACTTCAATTATGAAATACCCCCAGTTGGTCAGGGTCACCTCTGATGACTCAACATATTTTGCTGGGTTGCATCCCTGGCAGCAGCAGTCATCAGCAGAATTGAATTCTTCAGAGGGCAGCCAAAGCAGTGCTATTCTGGAAGCAGATGAAATACAGCAAAGCCACATACATGCAGGTCTTCAGGAGTGGTGCCAGGCCCAGGCAGTGCAAACCAAGAAAGGAAGAGGACCAAGAACCATGCTTCCTGGATGGTCTGATTGGCAAAAAGGCCCAAAGCAGCAGAGATCACTTAAGATGACCTAGTTCCCTCTTCATCCTCATAATGCATGAGGAAACCTCTTTTGCATGAAATAAACCTTGACGAGTCCTCACTTTTAAAAAGGAAAATATGAAGAAACATAAAATTTCATGTTTCTGAAAATATGCTGAAATAAAGGTTTGTAAATAGCCAAAAGGAGGAAATAAATATATATAATTGCAAATATGCTTATGAGTCATTGTGTTTCCTGTCTGTTATGTTGTGAGTGACCTCTATCTGGGTCCAGGAAACCTCTGCCTTCCATTCATCACCTTTGCCTCCCCACAGCTTTGCATATCCACCTCCTCATCCCCCAAGACATCTGAATCCATGGTTTTCAAGAGGAGGGAAAATAGTGATGGCACTGTTGAAATTTGTTTATGCTCTTGCACAACTCATTCTAATCATTTAAAACAAAAATTTTAAAAATATGGCAAGTCATTGTGGTGTCAAATACAATGTGAACACTTATCTCTATTGCAGGGGGGTTTCATAAAGAAACTTAAAAAAAAATAAAAACACCTCCTTTGCCAATGTAGATGTGCAGAATAAAAGGCAAAAAAGCCCTGCCCTGTCAGGGTGTGAAGAGGGGTGTGGTCAAGTTTTTAGAAGTCTGCAGAGTCACATGAAAACATCCTGCTAATTCTGCAGAAGCTCATCACTATGGCCCACATTTGTCAGTGTGGCCATTGCCAAGCACCTTTTGTTGGAAACATTGGAGTTGCAATAGGAACACTAACCTAATCTCTCTTCTCTGTGATCCTTTGTGACCCAATGCAGAACAGGAGAGCTGTGCATTCACACCTGACAGGTGTGATCTGCCCAAGGGGCTGGGAGCTGGGAGCTGGTGTTGTCATAGGTACACATAGAAAGAGAAAATGCAGTTGGGGGTGGAAGGGTAGTTTTCACAGTATCTCTGGGGCCTGCCCTTAGCTGCTGAGTTCTTCTCTGCTGGATAATTTCTTGCCAACAACTCAGGTTCTGAAAGTGACCTGTGGCCCCAGTAGAGCTGTGGTCCTTGAATGGTCCTACTGTCACTTGCTGCCCACCAACTATACCACTACCTTAAGGGATATGGGGTAAGAGAAGGGAGATGTGGTCTCCCTCCTCATTTACATCTTTCCTAACTCTCAGGGTGAAAGATCCTTGCCACAACCTCTCCAGGCTTTCAGAAAGTTCTCTTTCCAGGCTCCCATGTTGGCTCAGCTTCCTCTGAGCCCTGGAAGGGTCTCCCAGGGGCCCCTTGGTGCTGCCACGATGCCACTTCTCCCATCCAGGTCTCTCCCAAGCTCTCTTCTTCATCAGATTCTCAAGGGAATTAGTAAGGTATACAGGACTGAGGCAGGATTATTTTATTTTTTAACAAACATAAGCACATTTTTATACTGATATGTTTAAAAGTAATAGGGAAAATGGCAGAAAAAGAAAGTGAGGATTAGAAAACAAGTTATGGGGGATAAGGGCCTATTCCTCATGGGACTCAAACAAATTTTCATCCAATTGTCTAGAAGCAACTCAGGAACTGTACGGTGAGCAAGGGCCACAGTTTGAACATAAATTCTTTCAACAGCCAGGCTAAGACTTGGGGCAATAGAATGCCGTCCTGCATCCTTGACCTTAGATCTCTCAATTTCAATTACAAATCAGCTTCTTAGAGAGTCTCCCTTTAATATCACCTTCTTTTCCTATGAGTAGAAAACATTCTACTCCATCACACCACCAGATGATGGCTGGTCATATAATCCCAGTTTATTATAGGAAAATCAATAATTGGGGGAGGTTAGGTGGGTGCTGCTGTGGTAACAATCCCAAAATCCCACTGACTTATTTCTTTCTCATACTGTGTGTCCATTGCAGGTCATCAGAGTAGTTTCTTCTTATCACAGCCACTGAGGAACAAGCTGACAGAGGCTTCAGTGACATGTACCTCTCTAATGTTTGTAGCAAGGGTAAGGGAAGGGGGTTGGTCCTCACACTAGTGATTCAGTGTTGCACTTGAAAAGGACACACAGCACTCACACTCACAATTCATTAGCTAAAATGAATACCCTTACCCAACTATAAGGAGCCAGGCTGTTCAGTTTGGTATATATCCAAAGGAGGTGAACCATATATCACTGAGTAGTACTAACAACCATTGGGACTTTACCTTGATCTTCACATGGATGTTGCTTCCTCTTCTTCCTTCTCATCTTTTTTTTTTTTTTTTTCATTTATTTTTATTAGTTGGAGGCTAATTACTTTACAATATTGTAGTGGGTTTTGTTATACATTGACATGAATCAGCCATGGATTTACATGTATTCCCCATCCCGATCCCCCCTCCCACCTCCCTCTCCACCCGATCCCTCTGGGTCTTCCCAGTGCACCAGGCCCGAGCACTTGTCTCATGCACCCAACCTGGGCTGGTGATCTGTTTCACCCTAGATAATATACATGTTTCGATGCTGTTCTCTTGAAACATCCCACCCTCGCCTTCTCCCAGAGTCCACAAGTCTGTTCTATACATCTGAGTCTCTTTTTCTGTTTTGCATATAGGGTTATCGTTACCATCTTTCTAAATTCCATATATATGTGTTAGTATACTGTAATGGTCTTTATCTTTCTGGCTTACTTCACTCTGTATAATGGGCTCCAGTTTCATCCATCTCATTAGAACTGATTCAAATGAATTCTTGTTTTTTTTTTATTCTTCCTAATGTAATGTTTATTCCTATCTCAATACTTTGTGCAGATTTTACTTGTTTCTCACAGAATTGCTGTGTAGATTCAAAGGTTTATCTATGTAAGTGCTCAGCACAGTGCCTAGCATGGAGTAAGCTCTTAACATACACTACTGTTTCTATTATTTGTGATTCAAATGAATTCTTTTTAATGGCTGAGTAATATTCCATGAGGTATATGTACCACAGCTTCCTTATCCATTCGTCTGCTGATGGACATCTAGGTGTAGAAAAGGGAACCCTCTTACACTGTTGGTGGGAATGCAAACAAGTACAGCCGCTATGGAGAACAGTGTGGAGATTCCTTTAAAAACTGGAAATAGAACTGCCATATGACCCAGCAATACCACTTCTGGGCATACACACCGAGGAAACCAGATCTTCCTCCTCATCTTTAACCTTGACACAGGAGACAGCAACATACATTAAAATTCCAAAATGCTACCATTCATCAGTGAGAGTGTCTGCCATT